CTGTTGGATTGTCTTCTCCAACTCTTAAGTGATAATTTGTTTTATTGTACTTTATTTTGTTATATATTTTTGAATGAATGAATGAATGAATGAATGAATGAATGAATGAATGAAAGCCTAGCCATTAGGGTAAAGGTTAACAATTAAACTGTCGCTTATACTTGCTGGGAGAGGAAAAATCAGTTTTCTCCAATGGAGTGACACTAGATATATCAACCACTCCAGCATGTTCAGGAGTAGTTGAACAATAAAAAATGGACTCCACAGGGTTTTTGTGGGTACTTGTATTTGTTTCAGTTTGGTGCATTTTGTTGTTGTTGTTGTTGTTGTTGTTTGCAGGTCTTGTTTTTCTTCTTGGTTTGGGGGAGTTTTATTGTTATATTGGGTTTTTATTTATTTTGTGAGAAAGAACTTAAAGTTTGGTGGTTAGAGGGGAGGAGAGGATCTGTAAGAACTTGGGAGAGGGGGAGAATATGAAATAAAAATAATGTAATAAAAAGAGCATATTAAATAATAATTTTCTATTTTTTTAAAAAAAGAAAAGGGATAGTTATTCACAATATAAAAAATGTTATAAGACACATTCTAGAGATATATGTGTTGGGGAGGGGAGGGCAACAGAAGAGCCTCAAACTTCAGGGATTATCAGATCGGGGAAGTGAATAATACTGGGAAGGTTGATAACATTGGCTAATGACAGGGAAAGAAAAAATAAAATTCTTCTTTTTCTTTCCTGTGGGGTGCCAAGGATGAACCCAGAGACTGACTCACGCCAAGCAAGCAGTCTACCTAGCTACAACTCCAGATCACCAAAATTAATGTCTATTTTGTTTCAGTCTTACAGACTTTGAAAAACAAGCTTTCCATTTAAAAAGTCAAGACAATGAAGTAGGCAAGCAAAAGGTACTCTTCATACTTACGAATAACTCACAGTTACACTCTAACAAGCTATATGCCCACAGCACAGAAGCAATTTGTCGATGTGATCAAGGAGCCACTGTCAAGAACTTTTCCAAAGTCCATGGGACAGAGTCAGAAGTTGAGCCACTGCTTTCTGGCTTTGTTAAAAGGGCACAGTAAGTCATAGAACTGAGGCTAGGTGCAAAATTCTCCAGTTGAGTATTAAAGAGATGGCATGTGCATGTTGTAGAATAGAAAACTGTCACACACCTTGGCCACACAAAAGTGAGTGATGTCTGTAAACGAAGAGAACCCAGATCCATGTCTTCATTCTGTCCTTAAATAGCCATGTAGCCATGCTACGTTGTTTGAATCCTATGAATTACAGTATCTTTCTCTGGGAAACAAGGTTGTCAACTTAGATCTTCTTTTATACTTTAACCAAAAAGAATATAGTAGCCCCAAATATACCATCAGTACCTAAGTTCTTTTAATCTTGCTGCCCCCAAGTGCAAGAGCTGCCATTCATTAAGAAGCAAATTGTGGCAATACTGGACTTACAATGAGGAGTATTGACAATCCCTTTTTATAAACAGTGCTACTGAGACTCAGAATCTCTAGTTGATTGGATAAATAAGGTTCAGGATGCATCCTGAAGTCAGGAATTCAGGTGATTCATGCCCCATCTGATCATGATGGACAAAATGAACATATTTATAGTGAGATAACATTACAATGAATACTACAACAAACACTGGTTGACTTTTGGATGGTTGAAACATATTGATGGGCTTGCAAGACGACTCAGCTGGTAAAGCACTTGCTGCACAAGCCTGATGACCTGAATGCGGTCTCTGGAACACATGTATAAAAGCCAGATATTACCAGGTGGTGGTAATACTCACCTTTAATCCCAGCACTCTGAAGGCAGAAGCAGGTAGATCTCCAAGTCTAGCTAGCATGGTCTACAGAGTGAGTTCCAGGACAGCCAGGGCTACACAGGGAAACTCTGTCTCAAAACAAAACAAAAACAGCTGGGCAGTGGGGGTGCAAATCTTTAATCCCAGCACTTAGGAAGCAGAGACAGGTGTATCTCAGTGAGATGGAGGCCAGCCTGGTCTACAAAGCAAGTTCCAGGACAGCCAGGGCAGTTACACAGAGAAACCCTGCCTCGAGAAAACAAAAACAAAACAAACAAAACAAAACAAAGAAAAAACAAGAAAGAAAGAAAGAGAGAGAGAGAGAGAGAGAGAGAGAGAGAGAGAGAGAGAGAGAGAGAGGGAGGGAGGGAGGGAGGAAGAAAGAGAGAGAGAGAGAGAGAGAGAGAGAGAGAGAGAGAGAGAGAGAAAGAAAGAAAGAAAGAAAGAAAGAAAGAAAGAAAGAAAGAAAGAAAGAAAGAAAGAAGGAAAGAGCAGGCCAAACGGACTGACACACATCTGTGATCCCAGCACTCCTACCATGAGATGGAAGACAGAGACAAGACGGTCATTGGGAAGCCCAAGGCCAGCTACTGTGAAGTATGAAACATGTCGGAAAGACCAAAAGTCCCTCAGCAAGGTGGAAGGAGAGAAGCAACACCCAAAAGTTATCCTCTGTCTACATGTGCACCATGTCATGTATGCACACACAGAGATAATAATAAGATAATAACTAATAGTAATGAAAGAAAGAATTCTAAAAATATATTGATAATGTACTTAAGTCCATTTCAGTAAAATTTTCTTCTGGTATTCCTTTGATGTTGGACTGTATAATGTATAAACAATCTCACTGAAGGGATAGAAAACAATTCTGATTAAATTTTTAATAAAACTCTAAGGAATACTAGTAATATTTTACTCAAATATTAATTTATTAAAATGCCACAGCCATATAGGATGTGAGGTAGCTGATGCACTGCAGTGTGATAAGTATTCAAACAGTGAAATGGATAAAGGCTGATGTTAACTGTGGTACAGCCGCCGAAGAGTGTGGTCAGACTTAGGGAAGCAGTAGATTCCTGAGCAGCCTTCAACGTCAGTGTGGTCCAGGGAACTGAAGGTCCGAAAAGCCTGTCAAACGAACAGCCTTGGCAATCGGTCGAGAGAAGCCTTGGGATGACAAACACATGAGGGTTGAAATGACTCTTAGCTAGTGGACCAGCTGAATAATGACTGGCGTTCGGTCTTGGAGCCACTCTGGAGTTCCAGGTCAGCCTTTACTTGGTCCCAGAGCCAAGCGGTGCATGAGGTAGCTGAGAGGCAGTCGGGCAGGACTGGCTCTGGGAGTTCCGAACTGGGATTCTGGGTTGGGATTCACTCGGTCCCAGCGCTGAGTAATGGGCGTGGTGGCTGATGTGGGGCAGGAGGATTGGCTCTGGAGGTACCAACCTGAGATCCCGGTTGGAAACACACACAGTTCGAGGTTGGTACGGTGGTTTGAGCAGCTGATAGGCAGGCACACCACTGGTTCTCTGGGTTCTTAATTATACTGTAAGTGGTCTGTGGCAAGTGGTGGGGTGGGTGCCTGGTAGGCAGATGTGTAGAAGGACTAGGGGTCTCTAACTGGGGTTCCAGACCAACCTCTACACTGTCTCGGAGCCGAGCAGTGGCTGGAACAGCTGATATGCAGCTCTCAATATTTCTTAGTGTATAAATAAAATGAGGCTTTTTTTTTTTTGCTATCCATCACTTTGAGATCTTTACATTTGAAAAGTTAAGAAAGTAAAAAATGAAATGAATGCCCAGCAGTAGATGGCCAACACAAAACAAAGTCAACGGCACCTTTTGAAGTTCTTTGTCTCATAATGTTGAGTCAGGGATTTTTTTTTTTTAAACCTTAAAGGTCCTCTGTGTATATATTATAGTTTCTGATTTTGTGTTTTTAAGGGATTCCTATGTGTGCAAACACATGTGTCTCTGTGTCTACATGAGTTTCTTATGTTTTTTCCTTTAGCTCTTTTTCTTCTCTGTATTTATTTTGTTCTATTCTGATTTGTTTGTTTATTATTTCCCTTATTTTATTGTATTATTATTCCTTAGGTGCCTATTTGTTTTCTAATAAAAGACAGAAAGGGGGTGGGTCCAGATGGAACAGGATGGAACTGGGAGGACTAGAGGGTGGGGGGGGGAACTGTCATCAGAATATAGAGCATAAAAAAATCAATTTTCAATTAGAAAAAGACAACCTAGCATAGAACTAAAAAAAATTATAATGGCTAATGGTTTAACCTACATATCAAGTTGGATAGACACTCTAAGAAGAAATCTGAGTCTTTGCTCAGTGGGTAAATAATTGCTGCACACATGTGAGGACCTCAGTTTGAATCCCCAGAACCCCTAGAAACAAGGATTCGGTGACATCATTTGCAATCCTGCTGCTCCTATGGGAATATGGGAGGCAGGAAGAAGAGAATCCCAGGAGCTTGCATGCCAGGTAGAATAGCAAAAACAACAGTGAACACTGGAAGTCAAGGACCAGCACCCAAGGCTGTCCTCTGACATCCACGTGGGGTCCACGACACATACACATCAATATTCACACACATGAAAACAAACACACACACACACACACACACACACACACACACACAAATACACTGAACTTTGGTGGAAATTACTCCTTTGTTATGATTTCACAGAGAGCCAAATGGGAAGAAAACTCAAACTTATTTCCCAGTCAATCATTTCATTCTAACTTTGATCTGAAAATTAATAGTCTCACGAATTTTTTCTATTTGTGGTTTTTGAGTCAGGGTTTTGCAATATAGCCCACACAGATCTTGACTTTCCTTTGACTCTCCTGCCTCAATCTCCTATGTGCTGGGATTAGAAGTATGTACAACCTTACTCTGCCACTCACATAAACTGTAGTCTTTCCCTGACTGTTACCAACAGCTACATACTGATTTGTGTCTCCTATTGTCTTAGGACTTAAAACTCTAGTCAGAGATGAAGCATGCACCAATGCAGGTTTCGTTCATTAGTTTGCGTCTATGGCATAGCTTAATCATGAAACTTCTGAGCAGAGGCTCATAGTTAATGATTTGCAACATTTACTAAGAGACAGAAAAGACTTTCACAAAACCGTTTTTGTAGGACATATCTGTTTCCTTGATGCAGGTGCCTTCATCTGCAAGATGGTGCCGTTTGTCCAGTCCACTGCCGTGGTGACAGAAATCCTAACGATGACCTGCATTGCTGTTGAGAGGCACCAAGGACTTGTCCATCCTTTTAAAATGAAGTGGCAGTACACCAACCGAAGGGCTTTCACAATCTTGGGTATGCAAGTCACTTTTTGTCACTTGTCAAAATAGCTGATATCAACAACTTAGAAGTGGAAGAATTTGGTTTTGCTTATGGTTTCAGTGCCGGTGGCCATGTCAGAGGTGCAGCAAGTGGCAACTGACTTCAGGGGATTGGCCCACCAGCATGCAAGGCGCTGACAGGTGAATCTTGGATCGGCAAGGCCCCAAGGGTTCTGATCTCAGAATGTCTCTTGCTACTGCTGTGCCTTTACATGTTTCCCACTGCCATTTTTCTATGGTATCTGGCATGGTGTGAATGGGCGTGGGGAAATACCCATTGACCTTAATGTATAGCTCATGGAAATATCCCATTCTACTGGGCATTATTATTATGAAGGTTTTTCTCGTAAGCTGTACTGTTGAACCGAAGCAATGATTTTATACAATAGTAGTGTTAGTTTAAATAGGATTTTGATGACTGAGGATCATTAGTAAATATAATAGGGATTAAGATAGAGGTTAGCTTAGTGGAAAAACTAACAGAGGTCAAAGCAAGACATGGTTGCCTCCACCCCTGATAAAGCAGAGGCTGCAGAGGACAGAAAATAAGAACAAGGAAATGTCACACAGCTAGTTTCTGTTGAGGAGCCGTCAAGACTGTGGCTTACGTTAATGATTAAGAAAGACAATTGAGTCCCAGAAGCTAAGCTAGTTCAAGATCTTTCCATCTTAATGTTGAGAGATGTGTTCCTGGGTTTCAGTGTGCTAAAACTAAAATCATAGCTAAAACAAAGTCATTAAATAATGACTTAAGGTTAGGTTAAGATGTCATTGTTAATAGCTTTGAGGTTAAAAAAAAAAAACAAAGGAAACAATCTGATGTTTAGAAAGGCACATAGTTGAGTGAGGGACTTGATGAGGTCAAGGAACAAGAACAAAGCAGCCAGGTTATTATTAGCTGATGTGCCTTCCTTGTTAGAATGGGGATCAAAGATGATGATTAATTCCTGTGCCCATTTCTGCTCTCAGACTCCTGACATAAAAAAACTGTTGACAAATGGGTGTGCACCCCGAGGATTTAAAGTAGAGATGACTCATTCTTTTCAGATATAAAAGTTTAGATTTATGATTCTTATAAAATTTCTTTCTGAGATAAGTAATAAAATGATTGATCCTTTCTTTGTAACTGCAAAGTGCAGCCTTCCAGAAAAAGAACTGACTGAGAAAAATACCTTGCTTGCTTGCACTCTGTTAATCTATAACAAGCTGCTTAAGTATGAATGAATGTGGGTTCTTGGGACAACTTGTTTTTCACCTGTAATATGTAGAATGTTTAATCATGTATGGGAGATGAAAAACACGTTGTTTTTATTTGTGTTCATTGTAATCATTCACTTTAAAAAATTCTAATTTTTATACTGCTTGAAAGATTTTGCTGGGATGTATAAGCTGTAAGGGAAAAACTAAAGTTAGTTAGAAGGAAAACATCAAGAGAGACAGAAGGGATACATCTGGATAGAAGTAAAAAAGAAATAAAGAACAGAAAGAAGATGATAGAGAGAACCTAAAGAGGTGTGTGTGTGTGTGTGGGTGTGTGGGTGTGTGTTTCCTTTTTTTGCCAGACTCAGAGAGTCAAGTTTAGCCTCCCTCGCCAGCCTCAGAGAGTTAAGTTTTGGTTCCTTAGAAAAGTCAAGCTGACCTGGAATCCGGTGCCTGTGGTGTGACACCTTGCAAAGCCTTGGTGCAGTGGGAAGGGGCCTGGACCTGCCTAGGCTCAGTGTGCTGGGCTCTCCTGACTCCCCATGGGAGACCTCAATTTGGGGGATGTGGTGATGTGGGGTAGCTTGGGAAAGAGAGCTGGGGGTGGGAGGAAGTAGGAGGGGGGTCTGTGGATAGCATGTGGAGTGAGTAGAAAATTTCTTAACAAAGAAAAATGAAAAAAAGAAAGAAAGAAAAGTCAAGCTGAGTGATTAGTCTGCCAACCCCCTGGCTTCCCCCTCAATCCCTGAGCTGCTGGAAGCTGGTTCTCATGGCAGAGATACTTCAGAGATTCCAGTCCACAGCCATTTGGCTCTCACTTCTGGGCCTTTGGGCAGTAAAGCAGAACATGACATGAACATGTGATAGAGCAGTGGCTCACCTCAAGTACACAGAGAGAAACAATCTGGGACACGTTGTATGCCATTAACCCACTTCTTCCAATCAGGCCCTACTTCCATTCATCTATGAGTTCATCAGTAGATTAATCCATTCGTAAAGTTAGTGCCTTCATGACACAATAACCTACCTCCAAAGTCCACAATCTAGCAGTCAAGTCCTCTGAGACTTTCGAGGACATTTAATACTTAAATTGTAATATTTTGTGAGGCTACCAGTGTGCTACCTACAGTGTTAATGCCATTCTACATTATAAAATAATATTGTATTTGTACGGTTGAAGTTTTTCCCTTTATGTGTAAGCATTCCTGTATAATTTGAGGGGTTTGGTTCTCTCAGCATTTACCCCACACCATCTCTCCTTTAGGAATCTCCTATTATTGAAATATATTATTTGGATATATTTCTTCAGTTTAAGTCTTCAACTTTTAAGCATTCCATTTAGCTAATGAATGACAGCCATCAGTGGCATTTCCACATTAACTTTCATCTGACCTGAGATGAGAAGACTCTGAGTGTACAAGAGCAAGAAGACTTTGATACAGAACAGAAAATGTGCTTCGAGGGAAGCAGGAAACAGGGGTGTTGTCCAGAGGTGGCTCCCAGTCCGTTCACATAGAGGTTGCAAGTGCCTGAGAAGAGGGTCCTTCAGATGCCCAACAAAGATACATTCCACTCTCTTCATTTCACTTTAAGCAACTCTAGGTTCTTAGCTTGCTAGTACTGTCCCTGACTCAGTAAGACATGATACATACAACAAATCTCATAAAAATGCTGAATTTGAAACAATGGCCTCAAGTCTATCATGGTAATAGATTAGTTTTCCTTTTTAGTAATTACCATTGAGTGCTTAAAATCTTAAGATGTTTTATAATGGTCTGAATTTATAATAATCAGATGCATAGTGTACAGCTATAAGATCATCAAAGGTAGCAAATTTAACTAATATATCATGTGAAATAAATAAGAAAACAGTATTTCTGTCATTAAAATTTTAGCTGGTATTGTATTTTAAGGACACTGAAGACAGAGAGCCTGATGGTTAAGCATGACTCCATTTTACGGCACTATGATGACTATCACATTTTTACAGGTGTGGTCTGGTTGGTGGCCATCATCGTGGGATCACCCATGTGGCACGTTCAACAACTTGAGGTAGATTTGGGGCTGAATTGCCATTTATATTACTGAAATATTTCTCCTCCGCATCTCTCATCTATAACTGTTACCCATCTTAAGAGCATTTTAGCAAGTCTGTACTACTGCAGTTCCTTCACTGGAAATCTTTCAAATGAGATGAAGTAGTTTTCTCTGTTTACTTAATTCTTCTAGGTATTGTATTGCTAATATCTAGATGCTTAACTTTTTTTTAAATGTTCCAAAATCACTTTCGCCATTTTTCTACAAATTGAAAATGTTTTATCTAAAATGTTTCGATGTCTTAATATAATTGAGAATCCAATGAGTGGTCTATATTTTCTTTTATTGAAAAAAATTTTTTTTTATGGACAGTATATTCTGATTACAGTTTCCCCTCCCTCTACTCCTCCCAGTTCATCCCCTACCATCTGGATCCTCCTCCGTTTTGTCTCTCATTAGAAAAACAAATAGGTATCTACGGAATAATAATAAAATATAATGAGATAGAACAAAAGCAAATTGAAACAGGACAAAACAAACAAATAAAAAAAAGAGCCTAAGACAAGGCTGGAGAAACAGGAACATAGAGCTCCACTTGTTCGAACACGCAGGAATCCCATAAAAACACAAAACCAGGAGCCACAATATATATGCACAAAACCTGTAGCGTAAAATAGATAGATAGATAGATAGATAGATAGATAGATAGATAGATAGATAGATAGATAACTCTGACAGGACATTATGAGACAAGGAACCTCCAAATATGCTGCTGTTGATCTACCCTTAAGAGTAGTTTGTCTCCTCAGGGAGACTCCCTTGGAGAAAACTAATTTTTCTTTTACAAGTAGTTATTAATTTGAGATTTCTCCTGGGTTAGGGATGAGGCATGTGTCCACTTCTCCTTTCAGCCCTTGGACACCAACTGATGCAGACCCATGCAAGCCCTGTGCATGCTGCCACAGTCTCTGTGAGTTCAAATGTGTGTTGGTCATTCTGTGCCTACAAGGCCTTGTTTCCTTGGTGTCCCCCATCCCTTCTGGCTCTTACACTTTCTCTTCCACAGGGTTCCCTGAGCCCTGAATGGAGGGATTTGATGGAGACATTCCATTTGGGGCTAAGTTTTCCTAGGCCTCCCACTCTCTATGTAATGTCTGGCTGGGATTTCTGCATTTGTTCCCATCTGTTGCAGAAGAAAACTTCTCTGATGGTGGCTGAGCAAGGGACTGATCTATGAGAATAAAAGGATATCATTAAGAATCATTTTATTGCTGTGTTCTTTTGTAGAACAGTAGCATTTCGCATTCCCTTAGGTCCCTGGGCTATCTGGTCTCAGGTTCTTGGTCACTCAAGTGGCATCATTTTGGATTCTATCTCGTGGAGTGGACCTTAAGTCAAAGCAGACGTTGGTTGGTTACTCCCACAGCTTTATGCCACCATTGCACTAGTTTACCCTGCAGGCAGGACACCATTGTAGATCAAAGAGTTTGTGGATGGGTTGGAGTTTCTGTTTCTCCTCTGGCAGTGTGAAGAGTACCTTCTGGTACCAAGAGCACTAGCCAGTAGGGCTGAAGGCTCTAGGCAGGCACCAGCTCAACTTCTCCATGTTCAATGAATTGTGTGTGTGTTGTTTGCAGCAATACAGCCTTGCTGTCAATTTGTGGAGAGAGCCCTACAGCCTTTGCAACAGCCTGAGTTATCTGAGAGGTCCCCTGGCACTCCTTTGGCCAGCAGCTCAATTAGATGCAACCCCTTTCCTGGTACTAGAGGGTTCATTTGGTGATGAGAGGTGTCCAGGTGGGGCTTTCTCCCCTGTTATCTGATGATTTCATTTAGATCACCTTCATATACATACATAATTTAAGAAACTTCTGCTATATTGTTTCCATACAATTCCTCAAGTAGCCTTTAATTTTCCCATCCCTCCCATATTCCTTCCCTCATCCCCCTCTCCCCTCCCACTACCCATCTGATCCTCCTGTCCATCCATAACTATCTATTCCAGAGGTTCTCAATCTTCCTAATGCTACAACCCTTTAATATAGTTCCTCATGCTGTGATGACTCTATCCATAAAATTATTTACATTGCTATTTCATAACTGTAATTTTGCTACTGTTATGAATCATAATATAAATATCTGATATGTGGCCCTATTGGGGTTTGCAACCCACAGATTGAGAAGTGCTGATCTATTATTTCCCCTCCCTTCTCTGTGTTTTCTTTTATTGTTAACTCATGCAAAAAATGTAATCGATTAGTTGATTCTCCTTCATAAGGCCTTTATTGTCTGCCTCATCTTCATTGGAATTTGAAGTAGGAAATTGAAATTTGAGTAGGAAACACTCTTAGAGAGCATCTTATCCTAGCTCTCTCCTTCTCCTGCCTTTGTTTGGTGGGTTCAGCCATGTGTGAGGATTCACAGTAAGGAAGCAGAGTGTTCATTTGGCCCAGCCAGTCTGTTGGTGTCAACTTGAACATCTTTTGTAGTCTAACACAGACACCAATCCTCAAAGACAACAGGGCATTGCTCACAAAGCCCCTAACAAAGATATAGAATGATATATTCTAGTCTACTTTTTAAAACAGAAAGGCAAATAAGGAATTTTACTAAGCATGCCGCATCCCTCAGCAAGCATATCAAATGAGACACACAGTAAAAGTAGATTTTAAAAATAGTCTGGTATTTGATTATGACTTGAGTATTGAGTAAACTGAACTGTGTGAGAGCAGGGAGCAACTTTATTCTCTGTTACCACATATGAAATGATAACCGAGGATGTCCCCTCCCAGTATTTGTCAAAATACAATTTTCCCCTCCTATTAGACCTTACACTAGATACAAATATACTTAACACTGGGAAAAGCAGAAGGGCTCTCCTCGGTGACACCTAAAAGGGGGGGGGGGGGGAGGCTTCGCTAGTGTCAGTAATAAATTGTCTCTTTCCTTGGTACTCATAGTAAGACTTGTGTTGGAGATAGATGTGATTCATAAATTAGGATGGGGGTGATGGTGAAAACAGACCCAAAATCTCTTCTCAACCCCGAGTGCTATCTTAAACAGTAAAATTTTAGAGAAATGTATGTTTAGAAATGGAGACTACGAGGCTGGGAAAGTAGCACACACACAGAGGTAGAAGACAGAATATCTGAATTAGAGTACACCTAGAAACCTGCTTCTCCCTAGAGCTGTGTGAACCCATCAGCGATAAGCGGGGAGATTTAGGCTTTGCTGCTCCATGACTGTGGTCATTGTAGAGGCTGCTTCTATGGTGTCAGAGTAGGTTGTGTTTTTACCTCTATTCATGGGAAGTTCAGATCTTGAAATCGTTTTCCAATGGTTTATATCATTCCTAGTTTTGTTTGTCAATAATAGACCAGACCAGAACTTGACTTTTCTTGGTTTTCAGTTGCTCCTGAAGATTGTGATGAAACTTGCACACAAGCAAATAAACAGAAGCAAAACTATGTCCAAAACCTAAGCATTGAGCTGAACAGATCCAGCAGGCCTAGAGGACAGCATTCCTGATAAATTCTCACATTTCCATTTCTGCTACCCAGAGATGTGGCTTCTGAATATACTTGAAGGGTTCAGTTCAGTCTGGAAATGAGCCACACCACTTCCTGTTGTTAATAGTGTTTGAACTTAAAGATGAGTCGGCAGGAAATAGTTTGAGTAAATCAGTTCAATTATTTTAGGTTGGCAGTAGTTTGAGTCCCATTTTCTATTTGCCTTAATTTAAAAGTTACCATTTGCCTTCTTAATGCCTATTTTAGCATCTCTTACTTTAAGGAAATCTGGTGACTCTCCAAGTCTGTTTCTTCAACAAGTGAGAAAGCAAAAATGTATTAGTTTAATTAATATCAAAGCAGACAACAGACAGCATATGGTATTCTCCATAGACTGTGTGGTATGTGTGCTCTTTTAGCTCACTGAAAAGCATGAGAAGCAGAGATAAAAGTTGAGAAAGGCAAGAAATGAAAGAAACATGCACAGACCTCAATTCCATTTCAAATCTAAAAGCACGAAATTCTCTAAAACCTAAGCAGGTTAGTGGGAAAACTATATTTTACTACAAAATAGCAATGAAGCAGTAATTCACAGTTACAATAACATCGGTGTATAAATAAATAATAAATAAATAAATAAAAGTCTTTACAATGATGTTCTGCAATAACACTTGACTGCTTCTAATGCTGACTGTTGGTTCTTTCAACTGAATTGTTCTCACTGTAAAGATTAAGTACGACTTCCTATATGAGAAAGAACACGTCTGCTGCTTGGAAGAATGGGCCAGCCCCGCGCACCAGAAAATCTACACCACCTTCATTCTTGTCATCCTCTTCCTCCTGCCCCTGGTGCTGATGCTGGTCCTCTACGGTAAGATCGGCTACGAACTCTGGATCAAGAAGAGAGTTGGAGACAGCTCAGTGCTGCAAGCTATCCATGGGAAAGAAATGTCCAAAATAGCCAGGTCTGTCTGATTAAATGCTCATCTCTGTTTAAAAGTTTTCATTAGTTGTTCTAGAAAGGACAGTTGACAAGGATGCCAGAACTCCTGGGTAATTTAGGCAAAGTAATCTAAGTTGAGCGTATTTAAACCCTTGAAACTGTGCCATTTAATGTGTGGCAGAAAGATAGATCAAAATCATTAGTTCTTAAATCAAAAGCAAAGTTGGGAGTGAGCAAGAAGAGAATTTGAAGCATGGTTACATTTTCATCTGTATATAAATATGATTTGCAGAAAGAGCTATGAACTGGTGTCAGGGATCTCTGGTGGGGGGGGGGGGCAGCTCTCTGTCACCTTGCTGGCCATGTGACATAGATCTGCATTTTTGCCCCCCCTCCTCCATTTCCTCATAAGTACAAGGTTGTATAATGCCCTCTGTCATTACTTCATCAAAGATGGTGTTAACATACATGAGATGGCATGTATAAAAATGTTTTAAACCACAGCATATTACTTACGTTAAATGGTTATTGCTGAAATTTGATTTCAACATAAAAGCTATTTTCTTACCTTATTCATTAGTATCCATTTTAAAACACTATGATGCTTCCTACATAACACATAAGACTGACTTTATAGCTGTACTGAATGACCACTCAAATGAAAATGAGTCTCGGAGATTTGAGGGATGTAGTTAAATCACGGTGTGCAGCGCCCTCTAGTGCCAGTTGTATAAAGACAGGCCTCTCCGAATATAGGAAGATCCCAAGACTTCATCACCTCGGGAATATTTTTATTATACCCTTTCCTCAGAAGAAAGGGATTCTGGAGTTGAAAGGAGAGGTGCCAAGCATGAACTTTTAAAATATAAAGCAAGGCCGGGCGGTGGTGGCGCACGACGCCTTTAATCCCAGCACTCGGGAGGCAGAGCCAGGCGGATCTCTGTGAGTTCGAGGCCAGCCTGGGTTACCAAGTGAGTTCCAGGAGAGGCGCAAAGCTACACAGAGAAACCCTGTCTCGAAAAACCAAAAAAAAAAAAAAAATATATATATATATATATATATATATATATATAAAGCAAAGGCATAGTTCTAGTGCAGATATAAATCTACTTATAAGAAATGAGTTTGAATGCCAGGTAAACCAGAATTTTAATTTGATCCTTACTGTATTTTGTAAATATTGATGTTTTGCTATCAAAGATGAGAATGATTTTCAATACACGATGAATCAAAGTTCACTTGCTGACTTAGACTCCTAAATCCAAACCCAAAGTACATCAGTTACCAGCCATCTGACTACAAATCAGGAACCTTCGGTGGGCCTCAGCTTCTGCACTGGCCCATCGATTTCTTTGAATGTCAATGGTATAATCCATGTCAGTAACCTAGTAGAATGCCAGACCCACAATGAGCACACATCATGAGCATGTCTATTACATAAAGACTGTGAAGACAAGGGCGAGGAGAGCAGGAAAAGGAGATAGTCTACCTGCAGTTATGTGTGAGTGGCCTACGCTCAACTTCTATTTCAGTGTTGCTGTTTGAACACATTTTCCACAGCAAAGTGAACCAACACAATCCCTTCTTGTGGGTCTAGGAAGAAGAAGCGGGCTGTCATTATGATGGTGACAGTGGTGGCTCTCTTTGCTGCGTGCTGGGCACCTTTCCATGTTGTTCACATGATGGTTGAATACAGTGAGTACTTAGCATCCTCACCCGATGACTTCTGGTCCCTTCCTGCTAGAATGCACAGGAATGACTGTAAAACTGGTGCTTTTCACTGGCTTCATTAAATGCCAAGCCTGGTAAAAGAGCACTAGCTCCCTGTGTGGCGGGTGATTATGTGACAAGGACACTTTAGGAAGTGTGCTTCAGTAGTTGCAGACAATAAAGAAAAGTTTCCAGATTCTTATGTTACTCCTAAAGGGAGTGATGTTGCATCTCATGAATCATCTCTTTTTACAACCTCAACTCACAAGTGAGTATTTGAAGGGTAACTCCAGCTTCTAGTTTGCATGACACTTGAATTCTTTAGTGAAAGTACTGTGAGCCCAGTCACACATGCTGGACGCCAGCCTGTGTATGTAAGAATGTTCATTACAAAAGTCATTTGTTCCCAGATAATCAGATTCCTCTCCCACAGTGGGCTTCAGAAATTTGCATGCCTTTTGTCTCTGACAAAGTCAGATGATAGCTTTTAATTTTCTTAATAAAGTCAATCCATGTTCTAAAGTATTATTCTATTTCAGGTAATTTTGAAAAAGAATATGATGATGTCACAATCAAGATGGTTTTTGCTGTAGCACAAACAATTGGGTTTTTCAACTCCATCTGTAATCCCATTGTGTATGCATTTATGAATGAAAACTTCAAAAAGAATTTTTTGTCTGCAGTTTGTTATTGTCTAATAAAGGAAACCTTCTCTCCAGCACGGAAGCACAGAAATTCAGGAATTTCAATGACGCAGAAGAGAGCCAAGTTATCGCGACAACAGTGTCCAGTAGAGGAAACCAAGGGAGATGCATTCAGCGACGCCACCTTTGGAGTCAAAGTGTGTGAGCAGCCAGAAGAGAAAAGGCATCTCAAGCGACAGCTTGCTTTCTTTAGTTCTGAACTTTCTGAAAATTCAACTTTAGGCAGTGGACATGAATTGTAATGGTATCTTCATAATTAATATCATTTGTATGGAAAGTTATTTTGAGCAAAGGTCAAAGACTATTTTTAAATGATGACAAGAAGGGAAACAAGGCATGTTTTCCACTTAAACTGACATAATACATGAAACTATAACTTTGAAAAATATTAAAACAGCTTTGTAAATTAAAGCAGATTTATTCAAGACATCATACATAAAGCAATGGTTTTGGCAGCAGTTTTTGTCCATGTAGTCAATGCAATGTGACTTTCCGTGTATTGCAAAACTGGATGGAAATTATTAAATTGTATCATCATCTTTGCATATTAAAGAGCTGAACACCATAATGTAATTTATAGCATACTGTTGAAGTTACGGTAACAAACTTTGCAACTGACATTTGTGCCATAATAATAAAGGCAAAGACGACGAAGAATCAGGCAAATGACAACTAATAAAACTTAAAATACAAATGCCACATCCTTTAAGCTTCTGTCTCTGTGATGACAAGTCACCTCATCTTCTGAAGTCTCTATTTGTTGCTGCGTGAATGGAGGGTCACCCCCCTCGCTCACTCGTGGAACAGTCATGAGGCAAACTGACCAGAAAGGAAGGCACTTTGCATCCTAAGGACCTCCTAGTCCTGGTCCCACCCCTCCTCTCTCTATCTCCATTTTGCTTCTCTGCTTTCCTTTCTGAGACTTATTCCAGCTCTGCCTCACTCTCCTCTCGTGACTGTTTTGTAACTGGTTTTTCTCATCAAAAGAAAGGCTGAGTAGCCTCGTTACTTCATTAGATAGACAGACAGACAGACAGCTCAGATCAGATATTTCTCTCTTTTGGGTACTTCATTCTCTCTCACTCGTGAGATGAAGGACTTTTTGTTATGTATTAAGAGGGACTTTCTCATCAGTTCACTAATGAAGAAGGACTGAGGCAACTCCAAGCCTGTGAAATATTGCTACGTCCAAGGCTGACCTCCAAGCGGTTGGTCAGGAAGAACAGAGCTCCCCACTAGCTCAGCCCCTCCCCCACTCCTGTGTCCCGTGTGTCAAGAATCCGGCTGCCACTGTAAACACTGTTGCCTTCCCAATAGAGAAGATACTCAAAGCCCCACCACAGCCTCGCTGTCTAGATGTTTCCTCTGCCTCCGGTTTTCAAGCACTCATTTTCCATCTGAAGAACTCGGGATATTTTATGACCTAAGCTTTAAGATTTGGAAGCCAAAGAGCACAAACATCTTGGGTTCTCTTAGCTACAGGCATTTTATTTCACGTGTGTCAATGAGACACTATTGAAAAGGAGAGAGGTGAAGCAGGGTGTAGAATAATAAAGACAAACCGCATGACATGGGAAAATCAGCCAAGTGAAGAAAGGAAAACATTGTTTTGTATGGGTCACTTTGCAAACTGTCACCTTTCTTGTCTAGTTATACTGTAGTAAGACAGCGATCACTACCTGACAGATCCTTAAAAACGGACCTATGTGCTGATTTTCGTTAGCTTCACCTAACAGCTCAATATTCATGTGACTTCAGATATGACAGTGAAAAGTTGCATCCTTATGTACTTATCCATAAATAAATGATAAAGTCAAAGTAGAAAACCAGCCCTCATGGCTCCCAACAGAAGAGGGACCAAAGGGACAACGTTACATCAACGTGGTCTATGTTTTCAAGGAGCATTGATGGTTATGTGTGATGGGTGTGTGTGTGTGTGGCGGGGGAGTTGTTGCCCGCATGTCTGTGTACCACGTGCATGTCTGGTGTCCATGGAAGCCAGAAGAGGGCATCAGATCCCCTGAAACTGGAGTACAGACAGGAGCTGCCATGTGGCTGCTGGAGAAAGAACTGTCACCTGGGTGCTGGGAATAGCACCTGGGTCCTCTGGAAGAGCAGCCAGTACTCTTGACCACTGAGTCATTCTTTCTAACTTTTAACTTGATCGTTACTACTGCCAAGCCTATAAAATTCCTTTATTTAACATTCCATTAGGAGCTAATTTTGCGTTCCAAATTCACAAAACTAATCTTCCAACAATTTTGTTTTATTGCCCAAAGTTTAGCATGTAGCCACTTAACTTCATTGCCTGTAAGAAAGGCAGACTCTAAATAAAATGGCGAGAAGTTACAGCTGGGAGTGAAAACAGAGGGAAGGGCTACTGCTTTTCAGGTGTAGCATTTGGGGGTTTTACAAAGTATGTTTAAAAAGGACAATGGGATACTATCATTTGTTCAACTTACTATTTTTAATTTTACTTTTTAGATTATAATATAGTTACAACATTTCTCCCTTCCCTTCCCTCCCTCCAAGACCTCCCATATACCCCTTCCCACTCTCCATCAAATCCATGGCCTCTTTTGTCACTAGTTGTCACTGTATGTTTATGTACATACATATATTGCTAAGTATAACCTGCTCAGTCTGCATGATGCTACTTGTACGCATGGTTTTGGGGCTGAATGTTTGGCACTAGGTAACCAGTTTGCGTTCTCGTCCTTGGGGAGGACCACCTCTCCCACTTCCATCTTTCTTCAGTTACCCGTAGTTCTTTGTGTAGGGTTGAGACTTCATGGGCTCTCCCCACCCATTCTGCCATGTCCATTGGTGCTGTCCTTGTTCAGCTCATGATTGGGAATCATGTTTGGGAAACCATGTTGGTGAGACTTCTTAGAAAAGCTCCTTAAATTACTAGGAGACACAGTTTCACAGCAAACTCCCTGATCCTCTGACTCTCACTCTCATTCTGCTCTCTCTTATGCAATGTTCCCTGAGTCTAAGGTGTGAGCATCCACTATTTTTGAAGCTCCTGCAGTGTGTCAGACAGACACCTTCTCTCCCTTCCCAAATTGAGGACACTTTCCTCTCTAAACCAGATTAATACTGACTGACTGCCTTTAAGCCGACTGGCCAGTGAAATAACATAGAAAACTCAGTTATAAAAATAATCAGGGTGGCAGTGGCACATGCCTTTAATCCCAGCACTCGGGAGGCAGAGCCAGGCAGATCTCTGTGAGTTCGAGGCCAGCCTGGTCTACAGAGCAAGATCCAGGAAAGGTACCAAAACTACAGAGAGAAACCCTGTCTCAAAAAAACAAAAAAAAATCAGATGAATCCATAAGTTTTATACTTCAACATATCTCTATCAACTCAGATATCAGGCATGAGGCATGTTTTCCTCTTACTTGGCATAATTCTTATATTCCAAACCCGGGCTATGATGACTTCACAGAAGAAAAGGTTAGAAATAATGATGTAAGGAAGAGTTTTTAAAAATAAACCTATTTGAATACTGTCCTTCTGAAAGGACAGGAGGAAACCAGTCGTTGATCTGACTCCGGCAGTTTCTGGTCACTGTGCCACAATCCTGGGCCTCCTCTACATTTGCAAAGTGATGTTAAAGTGGGAAATTTTACACAAAAGAGGACTTTAAAAATTGAAACTTTAATTAGTTAACACAAACAATTGTTTAGAAAAGACTCCAAGGCAAAGGACCATCCATCTGAAAAGCCAGCAGTACATTTCTTCTCTGCAGGAAGCAAGCAGAGCGAGCGCACGGTTGTTCTTGAAACTCCAGCAAAAGGGATCGGCTCAGGAGAAAAGTGATTGTGCAAGGATTCCTTAATCAAAATGGCTGGAGGTGTGTGTGTGTGTGTGTGTGTGTGTATTTCTCCCACTAGATTGGTAATCAAACAATGACAAACGTACAAAGCCACAGCAATAATGAAGAAGGGAGGGCATCCAGAGTAAATGAGGAATCACAATAAGTTTCTTGATACCAAAACTGAATTTTAATGGTGAATGTGTAATCATAAAGACAACACAGGAAGCCATGGGGTGTGCATAGAGAAAACCATAGCAGTAAGAACCGTTTCCTTCAGCAACATCTGGGAACAACTGGAGGATCTCATAGGTGGTGTCTACTGGAAATATGGATACAGTCACTATCTATAGAACAACTAGCCATTCTGGTGTAACCGATTAGAGACAATGAAAGTGTTAATGCTCACTCTTGACCATCCCACCTGGTGCATATGAACACTTTCCTCTCTGAAGAAGTTAGATGGGGTGGGGTAGAGAGACGGCTCAGCAGTTAAGAACACTTACTGCTCTTGAAGGTGATCAGAGTTCAGTTTACAGCACCCACATCAGGCAGCTTACAACCATGTATAAACCAGCTCTAGGATATCTGACATCCTCTTCTGGTCTTTACAGGCACATGACCTCACATACACACACACACAAACACACACACACACACACACACACATTATAATTATATAATTAAAAATAATAAGGTAGCTGGAGAGGTGCCTCAGTAGTTGAGAGCACTTGCTGCTCTTGCAGAGGACCTGAGTTCAGTTCCCAACACCCAGTTGGAAGCTTACAACTGCTTGTAACTCCAGCTCCAGAGGACCCAATAAATAACACTCTATCTGGTCTCCACAGACACAAGACACACATGGTGCACATACATGCATGCAGACAAACACTAATACACATAAAATATAATAAATTTTTCAAATACTAGATAAAAACTCTTCAAAAAAAATACACCTTTGTGCACATGAGTAGAGTTTCCCACAGGAGTCAGAAGAGTGCAAAGGATGCCCTGGAGCTAGGGTTACAGGCAGTTTCGAAATGCTTGATGTGGATACTGGAAACTGAACATGGATTCTCTGGAAGAGCAGCATGTACTCTAGGTGCTGAGCTATCTTTCCAGCACTCCTCCTATGAAAACAAAAAGAAAGGGGGAAAAAGAAGGAAGAGAGGGAGGGAGAGAGGGAGGGAAGGACGAAGGGGAAGGAAGGAAGGGAGGGAGGGAGGGAGGGAGGGAGGGAGGGAGGGAGGGAGGAAGGAAGGAAGGAAGGAAGGAAGGAAGGAAGGAAGGAAGGAAGGAAGGAAGGAAGAAAGGAAACCAAAAATCTTTAAACGAAACTGGCAAAGACAAAGGTCCAGTTCAGTGTGAGGCAAAACTTGGGAATCTATCTACGTGGTCAATGCACCATTTCAAGAATTTGGTACACTTTAAGAAGACAGTTTGTAGAGAAGGAAGAAGAAAATTGATGCTAGTGAGCGAAAAGAACCTGGGAGATAACACATTTCCAGGACTTAGAATTGAATTTTAAAAGCACTATCTTAACAAAATTGGAAGCAGGTAAAAGCATGGACACAGATAGAAGTGGAGATTTGCATTTCAAAACTAGAGAATCTGGGGCTGGAGAGATGGCTCAGCAGTTGAGAGCACTTTACCACTCTAGCAGATGACCCAGGTTTAGCTCCCAGCACCCACATTGGTCAGCTGACAAGTGTCTATAACTCCAGTGTGGGGAGGACAAACAAACTCACACAGGTGCTTACACACACACACACACACACACACACACACACACACACACACACACATTAATAATAAATAAATACTAGAGAACTTAATAAATACTAGAGAACAAATCCCTTTGTTGACTTCTGGTGGAAATATAAGTAATATTGCTGTCTCTATCCTTAAGTTCTTGTCATCAGATCATGAGAGTAGTGCCATGCTTACACACTGATGACGTCTGGTAGGGGAGCCAGATGTGCTTTCATTGGAATGTAATGATCTTTGTGCCAGCTTGACTCCTTATGAAGTTTATGGAATAAATAGACCTCACTGAAGTGAATGAGCTGAGATGACTCATGTTTGGGTATCAGTGGACTGGGTGCTGGGGTGAGGGCTGCCTAGTCCACAGAGTGTGTCTGATAAAGTCAACCAGTTCCCAGGCAAGAAAGTGAGACAGATTGGCAAATGGCGCCTCAATGTGTCATACTTTACCTGTTTTCAGATACAGTGGCATGCATGGTGGCCAGACCTGAGAAGCAGGATGCTCCTGAGGTGTCAGCAGCATTTAGTCCAGCCATGCCTGGGGAACCAAGTAAAGAGGACAGATGTGGACTACACTGTTGCTCAACACTCCACACCAAACTTTATCTTCAGCTCAACAGAAGTCCCCAGGGTTCCCTGGAGAACTCTGCAGAGAAGGCTCAGTGGCTTCTTAGCCCTGTCCGAATACTTTGGGTGACAACCACTTGTATTCTAGGAAGCACAGAGTGGGTTTGCTCTATTTGGATGTGAGCTAGGCACCTGGAGAATTCTGCACAGTAGGTCTCTTTAGAGAGGAGAATGCTCCACAGCTGACCCCACCCATCCTGATACAAGGCCACCCTCCTCTACCAGTAAAGTTTGTTACTCAAGTATGGGGAGTTCTCTGACATTTTTGTGATTATCAGCCATCTTCCCTGGTTGGCAAGCAGCAAGCCTGGCTAGGAATGGCCCACACACGACAGACTGGAGAATTAGCCTGTCTGATGCCAGTTCACTGTGTCTATGAAACAAATATTTTATTGAGCTGACATGTTTGTTTTGTTCTTCTTATTCACTTCACTGAATATCATGACATCTGTCCATGTCACTGAGCAGACATTTATACCAGCTTTTTATTCCCAGACCAATAATTTATTATGAGATTGTATAATCAACAGCTTGGTTCCTTACTGTCTTCATTGTCTTTTTAAAAAGTAATATTGCCTTGGACATTCCTGACCTCTGACCTTTTCTCTTGACCTATTTCTTTACAAAATTCCTTGGAGCTGAATTTTTGGTCAGTCTGGGTACCCTAAGGGAATTCTGAGAACCTGGGACAGACCTCTGCTCACCTGTTTGGGTGTCCGTTGCAGAAAGGAGCTGTGTACGGCCTAAGCAGAATCAGACGTCAAGCCCTGGCCCTGCTCTCGGCAGCTCCCACCCTCCTCTGCGATGATTTTCTTACCAAAAGATTTTGCATCTTGTAGGCCATGAGTCACACTTGGGAACTCTAAGTAGAGGGATTAAGGGGGAAGTCTTTATGGAGATAGGAAACAAACATCTGGGGGAGCAGCAAAGGGAGCCGGTACCTTGTCATCTAGTAACTGAAGGCCTTGGTACCAAATCCTGGGCTCATTAGAGCCCTGGAAATCCTCCAGCTGAGAAGAGGAAGAGGAGGAGGCCCTGGCGTCCTGGGAGCCTCAAGTCAGAGAATGTGCTGTCAGCAGCATGAGTGTGTGTGTGTGGGGGGGGGGGGGGGGGAGACAAGTGCCTCCCACAGGGACCGCAACCCAACACTTCCAAGTACAGAGAGTAGCAATAGAGACAACTATACTTCACACCAGTGGTTCTCAACCTGTGGGTCATGACTCCTTTTCCAATCCTCTATCTCCAAAAATATTTACATTACAATTC